AAATACAAAAATCAGCTGGTGTGGTTATGCACACCTTGTAATCGCCAGCTACTCAGGAGGCTGAGGGGGGCATGGAGAATTGGCATTAACGTCTGGTGACGGCGGACGGTTGGCAGGTGAGCCAATTGGTGCCACTGCACTCCAGCGCTCTGGGCAACAAGAGGCTAGATTGAAAAAAAAAAAAGAAAAAATTCTTAAATATTGAAAACAACAATTACAAAAGGAGGTAACTAATAAATGAGATACCAAAATTAAAAACATTTGCTCATCGAATTAACTGTTACATAAATAAAAAGGCAAGAGACAGACTGGGGAGATATATTCTCTCATGCATAGAAAAACCACCCAGTGAAACCAGATTAAAATTAAGAAGTTTGATTTTTCAAAGGGAAATAAAATATTGTTAAAGATTCAAGATACAAATTGAGTGAAGATTCTGTTAGACATATAATTGTCAAATAATTAGTATACAGAATCTATTAAAAGATGTATCAAGAACTACCCAAACATCCATACAAATGAATAAACTACAAGAAGATAAAGATAAAGAACAAGAAATGAAGAAAATCATAAAACAAAACATTCAACCTCATTAGTGGATAAATGCTAATTGAAACCATAAGGTAATATTTCATATTCAATAGATTGGCAAAAATTTTAAAGTTTGACTACTTCAAGTTTGGCAAGGAAGTGACTTCAATCAGAACTCTTATACACAGTATGTAAAAATGAAAATTGGTGCCAATTCTTTTAACTTACAATTATCCAGTTTACTTAAGAATACATAAAGCTTTTGACCTAGCAACTCTATTCCTTGATATACACCTAGAGAAACTCTGGTCTATACCACCAGGAGACATGCGTAGGTCCTAATACTCTCTGTGATTAAAAAAATACTAGAAACAATCCAAATGTCCATCAACAATAGAATGGATAATATATTGCTGAATAAATGGGATATTATATACCAGTAGAAATAAATGAACTATAGCAATACACAGATGAATCTCAGGAATATGAAATTGAACAAACAAACAAAAAAGCAAGGCAAAGAAATACACAGTGTAATTCCGCTTACATAAAGTTAAAAAACATGCAAGACTAAATAATATATTGTTTAGAAATAAGAATGTATGTCATAAGACAATAAAGAAAAACAGAAGACTGATAAACAGAAAAAAGAGGTTCTAAGAGAATAGGGAAGTAGATGAGAGTGGTGATGAGCACAGAGAGAAGTTCCATGATGGGTGATGGGAATATTCTACCTTTCAGACTGGTATATGAGTAGGTGGATGTACAAAAGTATACTGAAGTATATGTATATAGTCATTTATATTCATTCAGTAGCAAATAAATATGAAAATACATCTCTCTCTAGGTAATGTTCATTGACCTCATGATGTTCACCACACTTCCGGAAGTCGGAAATATGCCGTCTGAATCCCAGCTCATAGACCAGTTTATGCTTCACCCTTGTTCTCATCTTTTAGTCCTATTTCCTTTTCACAGCCTCCACTCTCCCCTATCAACATAAAAACACATCCCATGACCAGTATTTGGGCATTATCAGGAAAAATGATAGGAAAGTACTTAAAAATTAACTTAACCTTTTCTCTCCATGTGTTTGTTGTGCAATATGTTTAGTTTTGAGGCTCTCATTAGTGGTTTAGGTGGGTCCTTTATAGAAACTGGCCAGCTAGCACTTGACAACTCATACTAGGATGAAGGCTTTTGACTTAGTGGCCCCAGAGGGTACTCCTTAGCACCATAAGGGTCTTCTTTAGCATACAGCCTCAATAGATAAGGTCTACATAGTAAATAGGGGAGTGAGAAAGAATAATTTATATTAGGAATGTCCTAAGGAAATGTAGGTTATCCTACAAAGGAAATGTAGGTTTTCACTGAAGATCCCTGTTTCATAGATAAAGAAATACAGGGGTTAGAAGATATAAAGGTGTTGTCCTGGATAATGAGTGGGCGGGGAATGTATGTCAAGATGTACTGATAGCAGATATCTGCCTCTTAAAGAGGGTCAGTATGTACCATCCAATTTCATGTCTTCTTAATCATTCCCTCTCCCTGACCCTCCACTGTATGTTTAAACAGGAGAGTCCTCTCTGTCTTCTCTGCACTGGGAGCAGCTCTCCTGCCACAGCCTCTCACCCCCTGAAAATGTATGCCTGCTCCAAGTTCATCTCCACTCTCTCCTTGGTCAAGAGCACTTCACTGCTGCTGAGCCATCCATTATCTGCAGTGGTGTTGAAACGACCAGAGACAATGACAGATGAGAGTCTCAGCAGCTTGGCAGTCTCACATCCCCTTACCTCACTTGTCCCTAGCCACAGCTTCCAAACCAGCGCCATTTCAAGGGACATCAACAGAGCACCCAAGTTCATTGGGGCTGGGACTACCATAGTTGGGGTGGCTGGCACTGGGGCTGGGATTGGGACTGTGTGTGGGAGCCTCCTCATTGGTTATGCCAGGAACCCTTCTCTGAAGCAACAGCTCTTCTTCTATGCCATTCTGGGCTTTGCCCTCTGGGAGGCCTTGGGGCTCTTTTGCCTGATGGTGGCCTTTCTCGTCCTCTTCCCCGTGTGAGGGAGCTGGTCTCCACCTCCCATAGCTCTTTCTCCCATGCCTGGTAGGCCCTGTGTGTTCCTTTTCCTATACCTCCTCAGGCAGCCTGGGGAACATGGTTGGCTCAGGGTTTGACAGAGAAAAGATAAATAAATACTGTATTAATAAGAAAAAAAAGTAAACAGGAGAACGAGACCAGCAGGCACCCCTGCTTGGGTACTCAATGATATACTGGTACAGATAGTGGTAAAAAGAAAACAGCAGTGGTGCCAGCGGAGTGGTAGAAAGTGTTAGAAATTATTACCAAGAGTGAGAAGGGGATTGTTCACCCACTACTTTTCTCTGGACTTCTATATCTAGGAGTATGATATTCAGATGAAGAGGAATATAGCAAATATAGCCAAGGAAGAATTAAATCCCAAGAAAGGGATGGGGCATATCAGAGAGAACCTTGATGCCCAAAAGAGTCAGGGTCCTCAGATTCAGTCAGTCACTGGAGTTCTGAAAGGACTTGTGTTGCTGCTTACAAAGCTATTTTGCTACATCTAGGACCAAAAATATCAACTGCCCACGCCCAATAAGTGGGAGAACTGCTTTAGTAGAAGTTCGCTAGAAAATATTAGGTGTTTTTAGTTGACTGCAAGCTGAAAATAAATCAGGCATAATAAGAAGCACTGGAATGACTCATAATCTTATACTGCTGATGTAAGTGTGATGCTGAGACAAAGAAAGTTGAGTCCCACTCTGTTTATTTTTGGCTTTTTAAGAGAAACATTAATAAGCTCTTGTGTGCTAAACGAGATAAAGCAGATTGCTGGGAGTACTGAAGACAATGCCACAAGAGGAATAAAAGTGCTGGCTGTGTTTATAACCATGGAAAAAGATAAGCCTTAGCCACGAGGAAGGAGCCCATTAGCTGTCTTCCACTGTTTCAAGCATTGCAAAGTACAAGAGTGATGAGACTTATTCTGCATAGCTTCAGAGGGCAGAACCAAGAACAATGCTTAGAAGTTAAAGGGGAGAAAATTCCATTCAATATCAGAAATCTGACAATCTTAGATTTATATAATGTTGTATAATCCACAAATACGTTCATATGCATCATCTCACTTTAGGAAGAACTCCTGAACAATTGATGATAGAGTGAGCTGCCAGGCATCTTTAAGCATAGACTAATGAATCCACTAGACTAGATGAACTTGAAGATTGTTTCCAACTCAGGCTGTGAATCAACCTAGAGATGCTTCTAAGTCAGCTTCTAAACCGAGAGGAAACAGGGAACAAACGCAATAACACCTGCATCAATTCATCCTTGTGTGTGTCAGTTTGTTCTTTTGAAAAAGGCAAAGAAGTGAAAAGATAAGTTTGTCTTTACCACATGGGGAACTGATTGATTTAGACACCTCATCCTTTAAGATATTCAAGGGGATATTGGCTACCTCTCTTCCTGGGGAATTATGCACTGGGTAAGAAGATGGACCACATGCCCCAGGGTTCCTTCTAACACCAAGATTCTGGGAAAGCTATATTTTATACTTGGCTCTACTACTTTCTACACTGGCTTTGAGAAAGCCTTTTTCACTCTCTGGACCTCAATTATCTTTCCTATTACAGGAAGGTATTGGACTCTGTGACCTTTAAGGTTTTTAGAGAGCTCACGTTCTAAAATTATAAGATTTTATAAAGAATATGTGGAAACTTCATCCTGAGTTCTGGTCCTAATGAGATTATGGTGGCAGTGTAGTTTCTCAGTCTTTTCAAAACTCCTCCAGAAAACCAAACAGAAAATTAGAAATAGTGTAAAAATATGCATAGATCATATATTTTAAAATATTAGGTGATAGGAAACACCTCTAAATCCTAGAGTACTGCTGTGGTCAAAACCACATATAGCAGTGGCACCTAAAGGCAGTCCGCTGTGGAGTGGTGAAAGCAATTGAGCAGGGTAGAAACACTGGGGTTCAGATGGTGTGTGGTTGTGGGAAACAGGAAAAGAGAGTGGTGGGCTTAATGCAAACCTTTGACAAGCCCTATAAGCTATAGAACACAAGATCGCCCATGAAGACTCACCCTCAAAAGAAAGCCTAATCTGGAACAAAAATCTGTGTGGACAAGCCTGAGAGTAACTGTGAAGCTACTATTCTGATATCCTCAGAATTGCAACTGAAAGCAGTAGCCTGCACATGGCATCACAAGAGACCCAACAGTGAGGCAGTAGAGCAAACCCTTGACGACCACCAAAATATCCAACTAATATCCCTTTCCAGAGGGGAAAACTGCCAGAAGCAGACACATTGAGCCGGGCAGTAACTCTGGTAAGTGGTGTGGGGAGGAGGTTGTGAGCCCGAAGGAACCAGATCCCAGGAAGTCATGTAACAACAAAATAACTTGTCTAAAGGGGAGAGCTCTGAGAAACAGGACTGACGGCAGGAAACCATCTCAGCTAGGCGTAGACCTGAGAGATGGATGGGATGAAGTATTTTGAGTCCTTCTTAATAACAGGAAAGTTGAAGCTGAGAGAGTGACCCTACTTCATCCCCTGGTCCCCACTGACCAGGAACTGTCCCTTAATAGTCTAGGAAAAGCCGTTTCATTTAAACAGGGGACACACAGAAAAAAATAGTCTAAGTAATTCAAAGTTATTATTAAAAAAAAGGTAATAAGGAAATACATAACACCAGAAAAAGTGGACACAAAGCAGATGAAAACTGTAACACTCTGTTTCAGAAAAACACCCGAATAAAATTTTTCCTTTGCTTTCACACCACAACAATGAACAAAGAAGAAGCCTTCTGTGGCCAAATTATTCGGGGAGGGGCGGTTTCCCCACTAACAAACAGTGGACACCAACTAATTCAATTCTAATTCACCTCAAATTCACCTCTAGTTCCATTCCCACTCTAGCTACCTGGAGATAGCATCAGATCCCACAGGCGGAGGGCTCAGATCCCAAGAATGCCCCCACCAACATACCCTCATGGCAGACACTCCTTGCTGCAAATCTCAATTTCTGACCTATCGGCTTCAAGTTGGGGTTCCCACGACCCCCTCTGGGTTCGATTAATTTGCGGAAGCAGTTCAGGGAAACACTTAAGTTTACCAGTGTATTATAAAGTATATTACAAGTATATCACTAAAGATCCCTGTTTCATAGATAAGGAAATACAGGGTGTTTTTCCTGTTTCATAGAGAAGGAAATACAGATGAAGAGACGCATAGGTCAAGGCACAGGGGAAGGGGCGCAGAGCTTCCACGTCTTCCCCTGACATAGCACCCTCCAGGAACCTCCACATGTCAACTATTTGGAAGCTCTCTCAGCCCTGTCCTTTTGAGTTTTTATGGTGGCTTCATAACATAAGCATGATGGACAACTATGCAGACATGTGATTGGGCAAAAAGTACATGATCTAAACTCAGAAGGCCTGTCTGCTCAGACTTTTCTTTTTTTTTTTTTTTTTTGGACTGTCTGTGCAGCATTCCTTTCTCTAGGGTGTGGGGCAGGATCCGCTCTGAATGAGAGTCTTTTAATCTATAATCAGGTTAGAGTCCTGCCTTGGGCAGGTGAGAGGAGGACAGGAGGTCAAAGAGAGAGACTCTGTTTCTTGAGGCCTGTTTCAGAGGCATGAAGCACCCCACATTATAAATAAACTGTAACCAGAATTATGGAGTCATGATCCAGGAATGGTGGATGAAAACCTATATACGTGTGTTTATATATAAAGTATATAAAATCATAATATCACAAATACAATAGCAAAGTGAGAGAAAATAAATTAAAGAATCAATAGACACTTTGAAAGAATGGTATAAACCAGAAATAGAATAAATAGTTAAATAGCCAATGGCTATGAATTGAGAACTTACATAACTCAGGAAAGCTATTTTTAAAAATACACTAATAAATAAAGACTAATAAGTTACAACACATGGGGAAAAGATACTATGGAAAAATACAGTGAGAAAAATCAAAAGATAAAAAAGGAAAAATGAAGAAAATCAAATAGAAATAAAGGAAAAGATAAAAATGATTTGAGAGAAAATGAAAGAAGAGAAGACAAGTAAATATAAAGAAACAATGAAAAGAAGGAGGATCTAACAAAACAGTCCCTAAGGAAGGAAAACAAGAATTAAAATTATAAATCAGGAACAGTTTGCTGAAATAGAAGTTTTAAGATTTACGCATTTATTTTAACTGGAAAAATCAACACATAACAGTTATCACCAAGGAAATCCTAATAAAATAACTGAATGTTAAAAGTTAGAAAAAACAAAAACAAATTTTTTTTTTTTTTCTATTTGGGAATTCAGACAAAGAGACCAAGTCATTTTAAGAGATAGAAAATCAGATTTGAATTAGACCTCTCAGGTCATGGCTGTAATCCTAGTGCTTTGGGAGGCTGAAGTGGGAGGACCACTTGAGCCCAGGAGTTGGAGGCTGTAGAGAGCTATGATTGTGCCACTCCTCCATCCTGGGTGACACAGTGAGACTCTGTCTCAAAAACAAACACACACAAAAATCAGAATTATCAACAACAACATTTTCTGTTAAAAAAAATAAGAGAAGGGCTGGGTGTGGTGGCTCATGCCTGGAATCCCAGCACTTTGGGAGGCTGAGGCAGGCAGATCACGAGGTCAGGAGATTGAGACCTTCCTGGCTAACATGGTGAAATCCTGTCTCTACTAAAAATACAAAAAAAAAAAAAAAAAAAAAGCCGGGTGTGGTGGTGGGCACCTGTAGTCCCAGCTACTCGGGAGGCTGAGGCAGGAGAATGGCATGAACCCAGGAGGTGGTCACGCCACTGCACTCCAGCCTGGGAGACAGAGCAAGACTCTGTCTCGAAAAACAAAAACAAAAAAAAAATAAAAATAAGAGAAATATTTTAAATGATTTTATGAAAAGAAGATGGAAATCAAAGGTTGTATGAGTTAACAGGAAAAAGTCCAGCATTGTGAACTGCAAGAGCTCACGGAATGTTACTCTCATGACCTGTTCCTGAGAAATTTACTGGAGAATGAGCTTCAGACAAGCAATAAATAATTCTAGAAAATTCAGTACAAGTTTTCAGAGATAAGTGTGAATGTATTTAAATGTAAAACAACAACTTGAAATTGGAGATAAGAATTTAAAAAGTGTACTGCTGATGTGTGCTTTGACAATGTC